GCGAGGGCAATCGCAGAGAATGGGTTACTATTTTGAGGACTGTTGATAGGGGATACGGAGGTGGAGGACGCGCGCGTCGACCGCTGCGAGCGCGTTGATCGCCAGGGCTACGCATTGCCAAACTAGGCCAGCCATACCGGATTGGTCAGCCTTGATTCTGGGGAAGGCAGGGTGCGCGGTGAATAATGCGGGACTATAGTTGGTGGGAGGACGCCGACATCGACAGGCGATGATTCCGTAGGCGCGTCCTTGCGTTTTCATTGTGTTCAGCTCGACCCTTGGCGGGAACCAATTTAAGGAGAATGCCCTCGGTGAAGGCAAGGGGCATCGTAACATTGGCCCCTTCGCAATGTCCCTCCGCGAGGACTTACAGGCAGAGGAGTAGGTGATGAGATGGGAGGCGGTGGTGATTGGGGATGTTCCTTCCTTTACTGGACCATGCAGCATACTCTGGATACTGTTTTTTGTTATTTAATCGCTTCGCTCATTCCGCCGGCCCGTGTAGCCTCATCTTTGCTGTTTGCCCGAGGGATCGTTGTCAATGCGGCGCAAGTGTGGTTTTCTTGGCAGGCGTTTCGGGAGTCTCTCGGAGGCAGTGTTGAAGCTTCTTGAGGTCTCTTGGGGGCTGTTTGGGCGGCCCTGGGGGCTTGTTTTTGGGCATCCTGGGGGCTTCTTGGGGCCGTTCGGGGGCTTCTTGGGGTTTGGTGGTGGTCTCGGAGGTGTTCCTTGGGGCGGAAAGCTCGAAATGCCTTCGTGGGGGTGTGCTGGTCGTGGATGCTCACTCTGGTGCTTGTCGATGGGGGGAGGGGTCATCTGATGCGATGATGGAACCCTCGTGTCCGAGGGTGGCGGGCTTTGAATGCGATCATTATTTTTTTCTTGTCCTGGTGTGCGATGTCTACCTCCCGAGCCTCGTCACTTCTGACCTTCTCCCTTTTCTCGCAGTGTGTTCCCGGGCTTCTGTGTGGGGGTAGGCTTTTGGATGGAGAGCGTGAGCGGGACATCGTCAAGGGCGGTCATGATCCGAGTCCAAACCACCTTTGTCGCGGTAAGGCTGCATCCTTTCAAACGCAAGTCGTGCATTGCCTTGGAGAGAAATTCGAGGGGATGAGGAGGAGGAGGAGGAGGGCGAGGAGGAGGAGAGGAGGAGGAGGAGAAGGATGAGGATGAGGAGGAGGAGGAGGAGGAGGCGGAGGAGGAGGAGGAAGACGAGGAGGAAGAGAGGAGGAGGAGGAGGAGGAGGAGGAGGAGGAGAGGAGGAGGAGGAGGGAGGAGGGAGGACGGAGGAGGATGGAGGAAGAGGAGAAAGATGATGATGCTGATGATGATGATGATGATGATGATGATGATGAGGAGGAGGAGGAGGAGGAGGAGGGAGGAGAGGAGGAGGAGAGGAGGATGGGAGGAGTAGGAGGGGAAGGAGGATGATGATGATCGCTGGCACTTGCTTGGGTGCTGGGGGGCATTCGGGGGGCTCCTGGGATCGCCAGAGGGGGCCTCTTGGGGGCTTCCTGAGGGCCTGTTTGGGGCCTCTAGGAGGCCTCTTGGGGGCCTCTTGGGGCCTCCTGGGGGTCTCTTAGGGCTGGAGGCTCGACATGTTTTTTCGCGTTCCCTCTCTGGGACCCCTGCATCCTTTCAAACGCAGAGAGTGTTTAGTGTCGAAGAGGACTTGGAGGGGAGTAGGAGGAGGAGGAGCAGGAGGAGGAGGAGGAGGAAGAGGAGGAGGAGGAGGAGGATCGCTGGCTGGTTGAGTGCTCGGGGGGGGGGGCATTTGGGGTGCCTCCTGAGGGCCCTTGGGGGCCTCTAGGGGGCCTCTTGGGGACTTCCTGAGGGCGTCTTGGGGGCGTCTTCGGGGCCTCTTGGGGCCTCTTGGGGGCCTCTTGGGGCTTCCTGGGGGCCTCTGCGGGCCGAGAGTTCGAGATTTTGCTTCGTGCTCCCTTTCTGGGGCCCCTCTTGAGGCATTCTTGGGGCCCTCTTGAGCCGTCTTGGGGGCTTCTTGGGCCGTCTTGGAGCCGTCTTGGTCTGTCTTTGGCCGTCTAGGGGCCCTCTTGGGGGCCTCTTGGGCCTGCTTGGGGCGATCTTGGGGGCCTCTTGAGCCGTCTAGGGGCGTCGGGAAGCCGAAAAGGTGGAAACGCCCAAATTTGTCTAAAACCTAAGGGAACGCAATGAATTTTGCTTCTGTGGGTTCTCTTGGGAGTGCTCCTGGAGGCCTCTTGGGGCATCTTGGAGGCCTCAAGGGCCATCTTGGAGGCCTCTAGGGCCGTCTGGATGCCAGCTTGGGCGTCGTGGAGCGATCTTCGGGCGCCTCGGGCCTCTCTTGGACCGTGTTGGGTGCCTCTTTGGGCCCACTTGGGGCGATCCCGAGAGCCCTGGGGGAGTTTCCCGGGCCGCGCCCGGGCCGCGCCTGGGGTACTTTTGGTCTGGGGATACCCTGGGGCCGCTCCGCGCGCGCGAAGTAGAAATATTGTATAGATGTTACCGGAGATCTTAGCACGCCTCTGGCCCGTTGGGCCGGCGATTTTTTTCGATTATTCTACAGCCGAGTGGCGCCATCCTTCTATTCCGCAGAGTTGCAGGGCACTGGCGTGCCGCTATTTTCCAAAACTAACGCTTCAGGCTCTGTCTTTGAGTTAGCGCGGCGTCGAAAAAGGAGGAGGAGGAAGAGGAGGAGGAGGAAGAGGAGGAGGAGGAGGAGGATGCATTCAAGCAGTGGCGAAGCTTCCTGGTTCGCCTATAGCCCCACCAAAGAATGTTCTAAGAACTTTTCGTGGTTTCCACGAAATGTCCTTAGAACATTTCTGGCGGAGTCTGTCTTGTTTGAACACATCGGGTTTATGTTCTAAGAACATTGTTTTTGTTCTTAGAAAATCTCTGGGTTCTACGAAAACTTCGTGGTATGACTCTAGGAATGCCGGGACGGTCCCTGCTCAATGCATAGGGCGTGGAGGAACGGCGGACGCGGAGGGAGGCAGAGATAGCGGGGCGTGCGGGGGCCGCGCTCGGCCGCGCGCGGTCCGCTCGCTTGGAGGCGTTCCTCGGACCCGAGGGCCCCGGGGCACGCGGAGGAGGAGGAAGAGGAGGTTGGGGGAGGAAGATGAAGAGGAGGAGGAGGAGGAGGAGGAGGAGGCGGAGGAGGCGGAGGAGGAGGAGGAGGAGGAGGAGGAGGATGAGGAGGAGGAGGAGGAGGAGGAGCAGGAAGAGGAGGAGGAGCGGGAGGGGGAGGAGGAGCAGCAGCAGGACGAGGAATAGGAAGCGGGGGAGATGCACCCCTTTTGACCGCAACGCTCTGCTTGGCGCCGCGTGGCCCCGAGGTACGTGGCCGTCGCCCGGACGAAGGCCGACGAGGGAGCGGCGGTGGCCGTGGCGAAGCTGGAGGCCCTCGTGCCAGCGCTGAAGGGCTCCCACGCCGCCCGCGGGAGGGGCTCGGCTTCCGCGGCGCAGCGGGGGTCCTGAGGCTCTTCGCCCGTTTCGGGCTCCCCGGTGGCCCCCCACGGGCCCCCGGGGGGAACGCCCTTCTGGGCCCAGAGGACCCGCCTCCCTCGGGGGCCCGTCTGTCTCGTGCCAGGCCGCCCAGAGGGGGGCCGAGCGGCCGGGGTTGGAGGGTAGCGCTGCATCGCCGATGCATCGGCGATGTGGCCCGATGTTCTCCATGCCACCGTCGCCGATGCATCGTTTGCGCGACCCTCCGACCCCACCTATTCCGACCCCATCTAAGAGGCCTCCAGGAGAGTGGCATTTGGGCTGGGCCTGGGCATGGGCTCCCACGCTGCTGGGGGCCCGAGGGCTTCCTGGGCCGGGCCCAGGTTCGGAGCTGGTCTGCTCTGTCGGCCGACTCGGTCTCCCGCGTCACGGGCCCTCTTTTCATCGCACGGCAACTTGTTGCACGTGTCGGAAAACAGGGTCCGAGTCAGGCCTTGGGTCACGAAGTGAGAGGGGAAATATAATGGGAGGAGTAGCATGTGGATGAGAGTGTGGGGATTGTTGGGCACGCGAGCCTTCGGGTCAAGGCCTGGGGGGCCTTCAGCATTTGTTGGCCCGCCCCCCCACCCTGGCGCCTTGCGCCCGCACGGGCCCGCTCGAGATGAGCGTGCGCTGGGAAATCTCTTCGAACATATGAGGTGTGCCGTGATAAGGTGCGCACGCGTGCCGCGGTCGAATGTACTGGCCCAGTCCAGGGCTCCAGCCCCTGCTCGCCGAACCCTGGCTTTGGGTGCACACCTCGGGCTGGGCCTCAGGGCGTGGGCACCAGGCAGCTCCCCCTCGTCGGTGCCAGTCCTGCCGTTCCCGCTCCCCCCGTGCCTGCGCCGGCGTGCCCGGCGGCGGCCCCCTGAGGCCTGCGGGGGGATCTCTGCTTTTCCTCGGCCCCCTTCTTCCTCTCCCTCGCTCCTCGTCCTTCTCCTCGTCCTTCTCGTCCTCCTCCCGTTCCTCCTCCTCGTCCTCGTCCTCTTCCTTCTACTTCTCCTCCTCTTCCTCCTCCTCCTACTCCTCTCCCTCCGTAAACAAGTTGTACCGACCCTTGCAGGTGGAACCGAATACATCGGGGGGAACAGGCTTCCCAGCCAAGCATGATTTCTGCTTCTCTGCCATATGATATGGCAGAGAAGAGCTGAAACCAGAAGCTCGGCCCATGTCCTGAAGAACCGCACTGGGGGCGCTCATCGTTTTTTTGACGTTGTACCAACTTGAAAATCCTCGGTTTGTAGCGTTCTCTCAAAAAAAACTGAAGTTCGACTTAGCGAAGTGTAGCACACATGAAGTAGGCGGTACGTGTGGATCAGGGCCGCCTACTCATCGTCCTCGTCCTCGTCCTCCTCCTGCTCCTCGTCTGCCCCTTTCCCTGCCTCCTGCTCCTGCTCCTGCTCCTCCTGCTCCTGCTCCTCGTCTGCTCCTCCTGTCATCGTCCTCCTCCTCCTCCTGCTCCTCGTCCTCGTCCTCGTCCTCGTCCTCGTCCTCCTGCTCCTCGTCTGCCCCTCTCACCCCGGCTGCTCACGAAGCCTCAGGCTCGATCGGCGCGGGCGCCGTGGACCTCTTTCTGTTCGCCGCGTACGTGTGCACCGTCGTGTGCCGCCAGGGGTCATTCGGCGGCGAGCGGGGGGGGGGAACCGAGAAGGAGGAGGCCTTCTCAGAAGGTTGCGGGACTTAGCAGAAGCCCTCGCGCCTTCTGAGAAGTTGTCTCTGTCGTCGGGGAAGGCCAGGGGAAATTCTCAGAAGCCCCGGAAACCTCCGAGCCTTCTAAGAAGGCCAGCCCCTTCTCACTTCCCCCCCTCGCTCGCCGCCGAGTCGTGCAGCGGCAGGGGATCCTTATCCTTGCATCCTCTCTCCCCTGTCTCCGGAGGAGGAGGAGGAGCCTTGAGGCGTCGACGAGGGTGGGTGAGGGCTTCGGCTGCGTGTGTGTGTGTGTGTGTGTTTGTGGTGTGTGGTGTGTGTGTGGGGTAAGAGTGTGTGTGTGTGTGTGTGTGTGTGTGTGTGTGTGTGTGTGCAAGTGTATGTGTGTGTGCGTGTCTGCGTGTGTGTTTGTGTGTGTGTGTTGTGTGCGTGGGTGTGCGTGTGTGTCTGTGTGTGCTTGTGTGTGAGTGTGTGTGTGTGTTTGTGTGTGTAAGTGTGTGTGTGTGCGTGGGTGCCATGCAGGGAGCTATGCAATCTGCCAGATGGCATGGCCCCGCCATCCTCTTTCAACACGTCCCCTGGCCCCCCCTCGTCTGCACACGTGCATCGGGCTCTGATGCGCCAGCCCACCTCTTCCTTCCCCCCCTCTTCGGCGCACCTGGAGGAGGAGGAGGCGAATCCAAGGAGACGAGGGGGAGGACGAGGACCCACAAGAGCAGAAGGGGGGCAAGGTGCTGTCTACGCAGGCTAGCAGAACAAAGGGGAGTCATGCAGCGTAAAAATGACAGCAAGCATGGTGTGTGAGGAGCTGGTCGACGACAGTTGGGCGGTGTAGAGGTGGTGTCCTGAAGAGTATCTGGTGCAAGGGCCGTTTTATATCAGTTCCAATCAGGTATGTGCTGTTGAAGATCGCCCTCTTCGTGCTGAGTACGGCGATGAGCATCTTCTGCTTCTGCTGCTGCTGTGGCTGCTGCTGTCGCGGTAAGAAGGTGGGCGGGGATTGGGTTCGTCTCTTCCAATCGTTCAGGCTCAGCTGGCCTAAGAAAAGAAGCAGCGCGAGCCGCGTGCCTTGTTCTTCTAGATCGTCGTTGTTGGTCATTTGTGCTTCTGACGGGCGTCCGCTCGCGAGCAACGCCAGGCTCCCCCTGCTGTCGTCCTGGGTCCTGGGGGAGGGGAATCCATTGGCTGACTGTAGTTGCCACCAGAACGTTTAGGTATTTACGTTGACCTCATCGCGGGCACGAGCTGCTGCGCCACCAGAGCTGCTCCAGTACAAAATGCGATTCTTAGCGCTTTCAGCGTGCTTCCGTGCCTCATCACGAGGCTTTCGGTCGCATACCTTACGCGTGCGATCCATCACATGGATCGCACGCGTGAGGCGTGCGGCATCCCAGTTGTGGCCATCTTCATTTGAAGGAGAGCCGATCGGGGAAACTCGCCATGCCTACGCAGGCAAATCCCATCTCGTCGCAGGCATGTGGTTGAAAACTCCCCACACTGTCCATCTGTGCAGTATGCGCTTCTCGTGTATTTGCGGGCCAATGCTGGAGGGACTCGTGCAGTCGCCGCGCGCAAAGAATCCATAGGCCGTCTCCGTTGTAATGGTCATCGTTTCTATGACTGTACCGTGTGCAAATTATGCAGCTATATCGGCTTCTCCGCCTGGCTGGCCTAAGGTAATCCTCCGCGCTTTCGCAATTCTGGACAGCAGCGTTATGATGGGCGGCTTGCCCGGATACATCGCTGCAGCCCAGGATGGTGCACTGCAGCGCGCTGGCGTCTTCTTCACTGCCGCTGCGGAGGAATCGCCAGATTCAGTGCACCTCCGAAGTGAAATACGAAGTCTGGTGGAGGCAGCACTTGATGTCGGCCATGCGCAGAGGGGGGTTGGGCGAGGAGGAAGGCTTCTTAGAAACACCCTGCTTCTTGGAAGGCGCGGCCCTTGCCTGTAGATGTAAGGCCGGCGCCTTCTAAGACGCAGCCTCTCGGGGATCTCCTGACCCGGGTCAGTCCAGACCCGGTCAGTCAGGCCTTGCAGGATCTTGCAAGATCTTGCAGGATCCTGTGCCCAAGCCAGGGTCAATGCAACCCTGGCCCTGCAGGATCCTGCAAGATCCGGCGCTTTGGCTGACCCCCGTTTGCATTGACCCCCGTCTCTTGAGCCCCTACCCCCACCCCTACCCCCTTGTGCGCGGCCAATGCTGGGCGGTCCGCGTTGCGTTGACTCCCAGCGCCCCCCTGTGCTGACGGGTCCTCGCTCTCTCTGCGCCGCGCCGCGCGCCTCCTCTCTTTCCCGCCCCCCGCCTCCCGCCCGGCGACAACGACGGCGACGACGACGAACGACGACGGCGACGACGACGACAACGACGACGACGACGAGGACAACGACGACGACGACGACCCTCCTGCCTTGCAGTGTCCTCGCCTCCTCTCCGCAGGGGCTGCGCGTCCTTCTCCCCCTCCCGCTCCGCTCCCCCTCCGTCGTCCTCCTCCTCGTCGCCATCCGCCTCCTCGTCCTCATCGCCGTCCTCCTGTTCATCCCCCTCCTCCCTCCTCCTCCTCCTCCTCCTCCTCCCTCCTCCCTCCTTCTGCTCCTCAACCTCCCTCCTCCTCCTTCTCCTCCTCCTCCTGAACCTCCTTTTCCTCCTCGTCCTCCTCGTCGTAATCCGCCTCCTCGTCCTCGTCGTCGTCCTCCTGCTCATACCCCTTCTCCCTCCCCAACCCTCCATGCATCTTGCCCCCACGCGGAGCTCTACCTACGGCCCCGTCGAGCGCGCCCGCACGTCGCATCCCGGTCATGTCGGCACACCCCTCACACACAACACGCACACACACAACACGCACACACACATACACACACACACACACGCGCAAACACACGCACACACAACACACGACACACAACACACGACACACGACACACAACACACAACACACACAACGCACAGCACACGACACACAGCACGCAACACACACAACACACACCACGCAACACACACACACACACGACACACAGCACACAACACACAACACACACATACACACCTTTCGTGCCCTAGTGGGTGCGCCCGCACGCAGCACCGCGCCCACTCCGGCAGACCCCTCACCCGGATCGTGCCCCACTGGCAGCTGCATCTTCGGCACCAGTGAGGGCGTTCGCAGGTCGTCGCCCTGGCGTAATTCGCCACGCCCGCACCTGCCAAATCCAAGGGTACCCTTGTGTCCTGTGTTTCGCCACACATGCCTTTACTTCGATGTCTGTTCATGGGAGCCTTGGGCGGCGGCATTGAAATCAGCTTTTCCTGCATGTGGACAGCGTGGGGACCGCATTTGGCCCATCCTCCTGCTCCTCCTCTTCCCTCCTGTTCCCCCTCCCCCTTCTCGTTCTCCCACGAGCCCCCACGAATCCAGTCCAAGTCTGGTCCAAATTTGCTCCAAATGCGGTCCAAATCAGGCCCAAATTGGACAGTGCTGGGGGCCACGCAGGCTCCCATGGAACGGACACCAAACTTTTCACTTGTTCTGGCAGCGTGGCCCTCGGAGGGGTCTTGTGTCCTCGCGCGCGTTCTCTCCAATCAATCCTCCTCTTCCTCGTCCTCCTCCTCCTCCCCCCCCTCCTCCTCCTCATCCTCCTCCGCCTCCACTGAATCCTCCTCCTCCTCCTCCTCCTCTTCTTCCTCCTCCTCCTCCTCTTCCTCCTCCTCGGCTGTACACCGCTCCAGGGCGTTCCGGAACGCTCTCGCACCGCTGCGGAGGGCCCTGGCACGGCCGCGGCGCGCTTTTTTTGCGCGCTTCTGCCCCGCAGGCAGCAGGCCCCTCGTCCAGCGGCACGCTGTGGAGCGGCAGGAGGAGGAGGAGGAGGAGGAGGAGGAGGAGGAGGAGGAGGAGAAGGGGGGGGAGGAGGAGGAGGAGGAGGAGGAGTAGAAGGAGAGGATGAGGAGGAGGAGGAGGAGGAGAAGGATAATAAAAATAATAATAAAAATAAAAATAATAATAACAATAATCATAATACTAATAATAATACACAGAACCAGAAGAAACATACGAATCATAATAATAATAAGAAGAAGAAGGAGAAAACACATAATAAGAATTATACTACTACTACTACTACTACTACAACTACTACTACTACTACTACTACTACTACTACTACTACTACTACTACTACTACTACTACTACTACTACTAGTAATAATAATAATAACAATAATAATAGTAATAATAATAATAGTAGTAATAATACTAAGAATAAGAATAATAAGAATAAGAATAAGAAGAAGAAGGAGGAGGAGGAGGGAGGAGGAGGAGGAGGGGGGAGGAGGGAGGAGGAGGAGGAGCTCGCCCCACCCTGCTTCACGCGCAGCTGCGTAGGGCTGTGCCCTTCGCCAGGCAAAGTTTCAGATCGGAACGTCTCCCGTCGTTCCAGATCGAGTCTTTTCCCGCTGCAGCTGGTGGCCACATGTCGGTGCATCGTTTCCGTCGTTCGGAATGGCACCCTCGACCCATCGCGACACTTCTGGATTCAATTCCTTTCTCGTTGTTGGCGTCCCCTCCTCTTGCACTCTTCCGTCCCCCTGCTCCTCCAGATCTTGCTCCTCCTGCTCCTCGTCCTTATTCAATGCGCAGAAGGCCCCCTTGCCGATTTTGTAGCAGGCGGTGGATCAAATCCTGCGACTACTTTTTGGTGGCCACTGTATTTTGGGACATCACGCCTGGTGGAGAGAGTAGGATTCAGCGCAATGAGAATGGAAGGAGTATGGTGCAAGATTTGGCGAGAGCCACCTTGGCCGTCTTGGAATGTCTTCGAGGCCATTTTGTTTGGACCGCCGCCTCTCCCGGCCATCGATTCAATTCTTCATTTCGTCGCCCTCTTACCCGTCATCATCCCGACCTCTTCTTCTTCGCCCCAGCTTTCTTACCACTGCCAATCGGTAGCAATGCCTACCGTTGGCGACCTTCTCGTAGTTTCGAAACAAGCACTGGTGGCACGTAAGAGTGTAAGGGGCCCGCTTTGTGCCCGCCGCCGCCGTCGCCACGTGCGGCGGTGGGCTCAGGACGTCTCTGGATTTCCGCCGTGCCGCAATTCAGTTGTGGCCCCACCGTTGTATGCTTGCCTCGTGCTGTTCCTGATGGATTCCCTGATGTCATTGGAAGAGGTCCATCTGCAGAGGGGGAAAATTGAGGACAGAAATAGAGGTGGAGACAACGACTGTGATGTAGCAGGGTACTGTATGTATACATGTGTAGATATAGATGTTTGCCAGCGCGGACCCGAAACTTTATGCTTCTAGCAATACATGTTGTGAACCTGCGTGGGCCAATCTAGGTGATGTTTTATAATCTATGTGGTGCAGTCGATGTTGTGCAACCGACATGGTGCGATCTATGTTGTGCAATCTGTGTGGCGCAGTCTATGCGGTGACCTCGATGCGGTGAAATAGTTGTGCAATCGACCTGGTGCAACCTATGCTGTGCAGTATATATATATATATATCATATATATATATGGTGCAATCTGTGCGTGCACAATCTACATGGTGTAACCGACGTGGTGCAATCTATGGTGTGCAATATATATCTTGCAATCTGTGTAGTGCACTCTATGTGGTGCAATCTCTGTGGTCAAGAAAAGCTGTGCCATATATTAGGTGCAATATATGTGGTGCAATATCTGCGTTGCAATGTAATTGGGGCAACGCATGTTGTACAACTTGTAAGGTGCAATCTGTGTAGTGCAATGTATGTGAGATCTGTTGTGTGCAATCTAACGTCGGCGGCGAGCGGTGATGAGGCGACGACGGGCGGCGACGCCGACACACAGGTCCAGTTTTTTAGACCAGACGTAAGAAACTCCAGGTGCGAGCACAATTTGGGGGAAGTTTGTATATACATATGTTAGCACTTGTGAGCTCCGGGCAGCGATTTCCTGCAACGTATTCAGTGCAATCTAGGTAAGACCAATCAATGTGGTGCAATCTAGGTGATG